CCTCTGAAGCTGTTCAACTTTCTAGTTCAAGTTTAGAGAGTGCTGTTAAATCTACTATCTGTACTTTTAGTTGTAATAAAGATACAAGTCTAGATTTGTCTTTGTTATGGCATGCAAGATTGGGGCATCCAAATTTGAGAACCCTTCATGCTGTGTTGGAAAAATTAAATGTAAAGCATAATGTGAGTAATAAAACTGCTGCCTTTTGTGAAGCCTGTCAGTATGGGAAACTACAATAGTCTCATTTTCCAGCATCTAAATCTAGAGCAAAGGTCCCCTTAGAGCTGGTTTATTCTGATTTATGGGGCCCAACACCTATGCTATCTAGGGAAGGCTACAAATATTATGTCATTTTTGTAGATGAATTTAGTAGGTTTACTTGGATTTATCCTCTAAAACTGAGATCTGAGGCATGTGCTGTGTTTGTTCAATTTCACTTGTTTGTGAGAAACAGTTGAATGAGAAATTGAAATGCTTACAAACAGGTTGGGGTGGAGAGTTTATGAGTTTTTCTAGCTATTTACAACAAAATGGAATCATGTTTCGGCACCCTTGTCCTTATCTTCATCAGCAAAATGGGAGAGTAGAGAGAAAACACAGGTCTATTACAAAGTATGGTATGTCTATTCTGGCACATGCTGGTATGCCTTTGAAATATTGGTGGTCAGCCTTTATTACAGCTACCTATATCCTTAATAGACTACCTACTTCAGCCTTTGAGTTTGTCACCCCCTATTATGCTCTATTCAACCAGGAACCTACTTATGATGAGTTTAGGGTCTTTGGTTGTAGTTGTTATCCATATCTTAGACCCTACAATAAACATAAGCTCTCTTATCACATAGAAAAATGTGTTTTCCTTGGGTATAGTCCATCCCAGAAGGGTTATTTGTGTCTTTCTCCTGTTGGTAGAATGTATATTGTCAAACAAGTGAAATTCAATGAAGCTGAATTTCCTTTCAAAACTAGTTTTCAGTTGAATCTGTCTGCTAGTACTCTTTCTCCAAATTCAGTATCTAAGAACAACATAACTCAACCGTGGGTTGTTCCTCAACATATTTTACGTGATAGTTTTTTCATCAACATCTATTAATCTAGACCTTGATAAATCTGGTTTAGAGTCTATTCCATCTACTTCAGCTGCTCTTAACTCTGCTCCTAACTCACCAAATTTCACTCCCGTGGTCTCCACTGTTCCTTCAAATGTAGCTACTGTTTCTAATATAGTATATCCACCATATGCTTCAGTACCATAGTCTTTTTCAGATGACTTAAATGTCCTGTCTGATTTAGTGAATGCATCTTCTGGTTTTGATGCAGTGTGTCTAGCTTCTGTTTCAGTACCACACTCTTCTTTAGGGGACAAATTTTCAGGCATACAACGAGAGGTAGTACTACCTTGCTCCTCTACTTTAGCACTTAATCTTCACCCTATGGTTACTAGGTCCAAAAGTCACATTGCTACATCTAAGTGTCAAGCTTTAGTGTCATTATCCACCATACTTTCTAAGCCCAAATCTGTAACTGAAGCTCTGCAAACTCCTGAGTGGAAACAGGCCATGGAGAATGAATATCAAGCATTGTTGAAAAATAAGACATGGGAATTGGTTCCGTATGAAGAAGGCATGAATGTAGTTGGAAGTAAATGGGTTTTTAAGACCAAAGTTAATTCAGATGGTACTTTACAAAAATATAAAGCCAAGTTGGTTGCCAAAGGCTTCCAGCAGACTCCGGGGTTGGATTATTTTGACACTTTCTCCCCTGTTATCAAGGCTACCACAATTAGGATTATGTTGTCATTAGCAGTCCATCATAATTGGCCCATACAATAGCTTGATGTTAATAATGCATTTCTAACTAGGGATTTGACAGAACAAGTTTTTATGTCACCTCTAGATGGTTTTTCAGGTTTAGGTTCTTCTCACACCAGACTGGTTTGCAAGCTGTATAAAACCTTATATGGTCTAAAGCAAACTCCCAGAGCTTGGTTTGATAAGCTGAAAAATGCTCTGCTTGACTAGGGTTTTGCCAATTCAACTTCTAATGTTAGTCTATTTTTTTACAAAAGGGAGTCTGTTGTGCTATATCTCTTAGTATTTGTCGATGATATTCTTGTGACAGGTAATGATTCTCACCTTATTTCTCAAGTGGTGACTGATTTGAACAACAAATTTACCTTAAAGACCCGTGGTGAAGTCAATACTTTCTTGGTTTTGAAGTAAAGAGGAGTAGTTCAGGACTATTACTGACCTAAACTAAGTATGCCCAAGATTTGTTACACAAAGCTGGTATGTAGGACTGTAAACCATGCTTAACACCTATGACTACAGGTCTGAAACTTGGCCAGGAAGATGGTGAAGTTTTTTATCAACCAACACTCTATAGAAGTATTATTGGAGGGTTGCAGTACCTCATTCTATCCAGACCAGACCTGGCATTTTCTGTCAATAAATTAAGTCAATTTTTGCAGCATCCTATAGTAGTTCACTGGGCAGCATGTAAAAGAGTTCTAAGGTATGTTAAGGGTACTTTGGAGTATGGTATTCTGTTTACAGGAGATAAACCTTTTACTTTGGAAGCCTTTTCGGATGCAGATTGGGCTGGAGATGTGACTAATTGTAGGTCAACCAGTGGCTACAGTGTATTCCTTGGTGGAAACTTGATTCAATGGTCTTCCAAAAAATAGAAGCTGGTGTCCTTATCTTCTACTGAGGCAGAGTTAGACCGCTAAGTCAAGCTACTACTGAATTGGTATGGGTGAAACATTTGTTTATTGAACTTGGGGTTACTATAAACCATACCCTAGTAGTTTGGTGTGACAACATGAGTGCTGGAGCACTGTCATCCAACCCTGTTTTTCATGCCCACACAAAACACATCGAGATTGATGTGCATTTTGTACGGGAGCTGGTCACCAGGAAGTTGGTGAATGTTCAGTATATTGCTTCCAAATATCAAATAGCGGATATTTTAACAAAGGCTCTAACTAGTACTAGATTCGCGACGTTAAGGGACAAGCTAAAAGTTAGCTCTTCTTTGCCAAGCAGTACTGACAGTTAAGAAGAATGTTCTGGTTCATAGTAGTCTGCAATGATTCAAAGTAGTCTGTAATGATTCAAAGTTTTTCTACAGTAAGAATGTGTGAATGTGGTATGCTGATAAGATCATGTTGTGTTGATAGAAGTCTGCTGTGAGAATGAGTGAGGTTGTAGTATGCTAATAAGATCCTTTTTATGGTATGCTAATCAGGTGTCTGCAGAGAAGTTGTATTGTGTTGATATGGTCTCTGCAAGGCGTGAATGTGGTATGCTACAGATTTTGCTTTTTGAGCAGTTTTGAGTTGTATTGTGCTGCAGATTTTCTTTTTCCTATGGTATGCTAATTAGGTGTCTATAGAGAAGTTGTATTATGTTGATAGGATCTCTGCAAGGTGTGAATATGTTATGCTGCAGATTTTTCTTTTTTGAGTAGATTTGAAGTTGCAAATTCAGTAGATTTGCTTGATTGTTATGTTTAATTGTTAAGTTGGTGAGCTGCATATTTGAGCAAAAAATATTGCCATTTAGAGCAAATAAGGAGTCTTTTGTGAGAATGCTGAGAAGGTTGTTTAGTAGTTTGGTTTAAGGGAAGATATGAAATATAGAGGCAATGTAGTAGTTTGGTTTAAGGGAAGATATGAAGTATATTTGGGGTTGTGTCTGCAAAATATCAGACTTGTGTAACCTTGGGGGTGTGTCTGCAAAATATCAGACTAAGTGTAAATGCAGTGTGTTTTGGCTTAATAATGTGTATGTATATTGTTAAGTCCTGTAACTAATTCATTAAGTAAAGTTTTCGTTTCTCTTCAGTTGAAACAGATTCTCCCATTTTGCTCTCTGTTTTCTTGTTTCTCTTCAATTCCTTCATGGATTAGGCCCATTATCAAAGCCTAAGTATGGCCTAAGAAGTGAGTTGGCTCATGCTCTTTAAATAAGTGGTGGAGATTTAGCCAAGTGAAATGTGTGGCTATGGTTCACTCTTGAAGGCTATAAATAGAAAGCATTGGTTAGGGTTTTATCTATCCCAGAGAAAAAGGGAAGAGTATCCAAAGGAGAAGAAAATTAGAAAGGTTTGTGTTAAGCTTCGAGTTAGAGAATTTGTGTGGGAAATTCTCTTGGGTGTAATAATTCTTTTGTTATTCGGTGCGAGAAAGTTTACTGAGTGTGAGTGATTGTAATTTTTTTCACATGTTGAATTTTCTCAAGTTGTCTTCGGCAACTACACCAGTTTTTCTTCGATTTTGGAGTTTTCACTTAATTTGGTAGCCACTAATGGTAGATGATCATCATCATCAACGGCAAGTCCAGCAACACCATTGGCACCACTGAGATCACCATGAGGTAATCTACTCGAGGATGTCGGTGGTGGAGGTGACAATAACAACGTTTGCCTACAGTGGCCAAACATTGTCAAAAGAAGTTTTTAAATTTTAAAACATACTAATTTTTTTTTTTAATTTTTGTAAATTTTAGATTTTTAAATTTTAAAACCTTCATCATGCTTATTTCCAAAAACAATTTACAAAACTTAATTAAACTAAATTCTCAGTGGGGTTGACTTGATAATAATATTTAAAAATCAGGTGAAATTTTTCATAGAGTTATTCAATCGGATACGTTCCAATGGCAACACTCAAACATCTTTGCGTGTAGTACCAAAATATCACAAACTAGGACTGCTAATTTACTCTAAACTGAGTATAATCTTTATGTTGCTTTTAGGTTGGTAACTAAACAAAGGAAAAGCAAGGTCCAGGTAACCCCAAATATAAGTTTTTTATTAAAATACAACATATCAACGTAAAAGTTTGTAAATTCAAAAAATGAAAGTTATAAACTAAATACATAACACTTACAGAATAGACTTATAGAATACAATATAATATATAGAAAAGCCTAGAAATATCATTTTTATTTGAATATCATTATCAATCTGATAATATCATTATCCTTTTGCAAATGCTAATAAGGAGGAGGTGTCTTCTCAGTCATGTATTTTCCAACGGTTTCTGCAAGTGTTTCCACTATCTCAGTATTTACTACAAAAGTAAGATTTGCTAACTTATCATCAAGCTCATACTCTATTGTTAATCTTATAATACTTGATGTAGAATTTTTCTCAATAATTTTATATTGAGTTACATAACGACTGAAGCCCAGTGCTATAAATCCTGCTTCAATGGTTTTTGTTTCCTTCACACGCTTCTTGTTATCAACCTTTGTAACCATTTCCTTCATATAACCAACTGCAGGAGTTCCTAAAACAAAAACCAGACAAGAACATTTAATATTCAGTAGTTCAAATAAAAGTTTGATAAATAATATAATTTACCTGGTGGAAATGTAACGTTTAGATGTGTGCCAACATGTCCATCACCTTCAAGCACTTTTACTGTTCCAGACATTTGGCAGAAATGTACTTATAATTGTGAGGACCTGAAGGGTGCCGTAGACATCCCACACCGAGCAAGCCAATGCAGCCACCACCGTATTCGCTGCAACAAGCACGTGCATTTTGATGTTCTGAATTTGGTATTTTGGTGGGTTGGTTCATTATTGTGGCAGGTATTTATAATAGTTTGTTTGAAGAAAGAGTCAATAGATCTAAATGGGAAAGAGCCAACGTTGTTTATAAAATATCATTTTAAATAATATCAATCAGAAATGTAATATCTAAGAGTAGCCAAGAATTTTCTTCACCAAGCTAGACTTTTTGTTTTTTTTAAGGACAAAACACTTGCCTCGTCAAAGACATTTTCTTTAAGCAGGGGATGAACCAGAATATAGTAGACCCGGGCTATAACCTTGGTCAAATATTTTTTTTTTTTTTTTTTTTTTTTTTTTTTTTTTTTTTTAAACAATATCAGTCCTAACGTCAGGAGAGCCAACTAAAGAGGTGTTTTAAAAAACAATAAAAAAAGAGCGATGTTATATTTGAGCCGACTAACTTCTTTCTAAGCCCCATTTGTCAATTTTTTAAGTTAATCTTACATATTTCAATTGAATTGAATAAAATCTTGATTCTTAGGATTGCAAGGAGAAAACAACACTTCAAAAAATTCTTATAAGTTTTCACTAAGACTCTTTTTGTGCTGTGAAAGAGGTCGTAATAAGAGGGCTTTATTTATATATTTTTAGGATTGTGTTCATCCGTCTTTAAACAAAATTGAATTAAAAAGCAAGGAGGCTCTTTCATCACTCCTTGTATAATCTTAATCTTAGAATTTAGAAGATGAGACTATTTGTATAATGACCCTAATTAGGTGTATGATTATTTTCAATTAATGATGTGTGTTGTATGTGATTTTTCCATTAAGCTCGAAGAAGTCAGAGTTTCGCGAGGTTAGAGTCTGACCGGGAATCAGTTTGGCTCAAACAATTGTCCGACCCAGCATAAGCTAGTCGCGACCAACCTCGACAGTTGTTCAAATAAATCATAGATAAGCTCAAATCCCGGATACTTCGGAAGAGATTAGATCAAAACAATAATAGCACGATCTTAGCGCTCAATCGCGAGAATATCAAAATTACATTTCAATCTTAATTGTAATTCCTTTAATTTTACTCTTTCCTTTATACAAAACTTGTATATAAACCCCTTCCAACGATGGAACAAGGGTTAGAAAATTGTTCTAGGAATTATACTATTTTTTTCTAAGCTCTCAAAGAAAATAAGAAAAATAGTAAACGTAGGCTCAAGATCTAAACTTGCCAAACCACTTTAAAAACCTTTTGTGTCATTTACATTATTGCTCCCATATCCTTTACTTTGCTGATTATCCGTAATCATGTCCACATCGATTCTAATTTCGTCAAGGTTAATCAGATCGCCCTAGTTGGTGAATTTTTTGCATCAACATTTTGACACTGGAAGCAGGGCCTCTGCCAAATTTCAAAATTTCTAAAAATCTATTTCAGTGACCCGATCATCTGAAAATTCAAATGGCCCGTACTAGATCAAAGAATAACACCGGATACCACGACAACGTGGAAACCACTAATCAGGAGGTGCATTAGACTGCTCTTTCAAGTCGATCACCAATGCCGCCAGGGCAATAGGTCACGAATTTGCAGGGGATAGGGAAGTCGAATCCCGAGAATGGTCAGTTGGTGGAAATGATAAGAACAATGGTTGCACAGGCACTGCAACAAAACGTGGCTGAATCAAGGGATCAACAACAGGCCCCCTAGAACCTCGACCAGCCACGCTTCATGCAGGTTACCCCAATAGGTCAGAACTCAACTGGTGACCAATCTAGTTCATCGACACCAAGGAGCGACTGACAGCCCTAACACCACAAGGTAGATTCCGCTCACGAGCGTGGGTCTTGCAGGCAAACAAACGTCAGGATGCGACTGGGCAAAACAACCCATGGGAAAGAATGAAGGCAACGGTCGCCCAATGGATGCTTGACCTACCCAATGATATCCCTAACGCTAGCATGCCAGTTTTAACCCACGCCAAAGGTGGGCTCCATCCTCACAAGCTCGCGAGATGAGTCACACACGCCAATCTGGCAATGACCAACATTTTGGTTTTAACTAACACCACAAAAAACGCACTGATGAGTATGATAGCACCTACCAACCCAACCATCATGACTCTACCTCAGGCATCAATGTGAACGATAGAGGAGTCTCATAAGCAACGGATCTCCGAACTCATCTGCTCGAGGTAAGGTTGAACAAAGCCTGCAGCCAGAGTATTCCTCATAAGGAGGATTTAGATCGTGTGCAAAAAATGCTTGATGATCTAAGAGCCTGCCAGAACAATGCGGCGAAAGGGATAGTGAGTTCTCCATTCACAGAGGAAGTTCGTCAAGCCCCTCTCTCCAAGGCACCAAAGAGAAAGTTTCATGAGAAGAGAGATCCCAGAGACCACCTTGACTCTTTTAACGACTTGATGGAGCTACATCAAGTCTATGTCTTGGCGAAATGCCGTTGTTTTGCGATCACTTTAGTAAGAGATGCCAAGAGGTGGTACAAAAGGCTCAAGGCAAATCCAATACAGTATTGGCAACAGTTCACCTTGCTGTATCTACTATAATTCCAAGTGAGGAGACAATTCGCAATGTCGCTCAGCTGTTTGAGCAATATTCGTTAGGAAAGAGATGAAACTCTAATATCGTATTTAATGAGGTTCCAAAATGAACAAATGAATGTCGAGGATGCACTTGAAGAGTCGATCCGCACTTTGCCAATAGCATATATAAGGACGCAGAGGGAGCTGTGGAAAGAGCTCCAGAGCGAAGACCATGTAAGCTTGGCCAAATTCTATCAAATGGCCGCCATATGTCAATGAGTAGAAAGCTCGCTAACAGCCTTAGCCAGAAGCTCGTCAAGAGTAAGTAGTACCCCCACATGACTTATAAGTCTAAAACCAATCTCTATGCGTTGTCATATGAAATGAAGCAACTAAATCTAATACCCATCGATATTCTATACCTTCTTGCGAATTTATTGACAACAACTCTCCATATTCATATGAATCTTTAACTTCAACAATATTTACCTATGAACTATTTGAATTTGATGCTAGTAGATCAAACTTGGGATTTTCTTGTTTGTATTTTTCAATCCATAATCTTTCCTCAACTTGGCCCCTTTTTCTACAATTCTAACTCTTCGCTTTGCTTTTGCCATTGGACTTTGATCTAGATTGATATTTACTTTCATCTGCTCTTTTTGTAGGTCTAACCTCCACGACATTGCATCATTTAACAAATCGCCTTCTGGTTTCCAAACACATCTCTTCAATGAGTAACAAAGCTTTTACTAATTCATAAGTAGTATCTACATCTTCATTGATGTTCATGACTAAGGTATCCCACGAATCAGATCGAGAACAAAGCGACAAAGCAGCTTCTTCTTTTTCATCAATCTTCACCTCAATAGCCATTAATTCACTAATTAGGGTGTTGAAGCCATTCAAGTGTTGTTGGAAGAGGCCTCATCCCCCATCTTCAGGTTGTATAGTTGTTTTGTAAAAAATATCCTAAGTGATATAGATTTTCTTTTGTATATTGTTTTCAATTTCTCCCATAAGCCTTTTGCTATAGTTTCTTCAAATACGTTGAATCAAGTTACCTCATCCAGGGCAACATAAATATCTGCCAAGGCTAATTCATCTTTCTCCTTGAATTTTTCATCAAACACCTCCTCTGGCTTCAAGTGTTGTTGCAAAGAGGCCCTCTACTCTATTCTTAGGTTGTATAGTTGCTTTTGTAGAAAGATCCTATTTAACGTAGACTTCCCTTATTGTTTGCAGTTTGTCCCATAAACCTTTTGCCTTAGTTTCTTCAGATACGTTGAATAAAACTACCTCATCCAATGCAACATAAATATATTTCATGGCCAACTCATCTTTCTCCTTGAATTTTTCATCAGACATCTCCTCTAGCTTCGCCTCCATTCCTTTTAGAGCAATTGTGCATCCATCCTTCACAAGGGTCGCTCGCATCTTCAACTTCCATAATTCGAATTTAGAACCATTGAATCTTGGCACCTCAAATTTGGTGGAACTGGACGCCATCTTTAATTATAGACCCTAAAACACTGGTCTTTTGTTTTGATAATTTCTACCTAGGCTTTGATGCCAATTGTTACAAAATATTTGGTCAAACACACAACCAATAGGTTTAATTAGAACACTCAAGGAAGGAATATCAAAGAAGAAATAGAGAAGAAAAAAGAAAACATACAAGATTTACGTGGTTCAGTAATATGCCTCCATCCAGGGGCACAAACAAAAATATTTACTTCACTAGAACAAGAGACAAATACAATATTAAGGATCTCTTTCTACTTAGGAGCTACCCAAAACCTCTTAACCAAGTCTTACAAAAGACTCAATACATCACATGTTTATAATACTCTAATCTTAAGATTTTAGGAACCCCAAGTCCTGAAGGGATAAGAATTCTAAATAAATGTGTATACATAAAAGAAATAAATTTAATGTAAATAGGATAATAGTTCAACCTAATCCTAGGTGAAAAGAATACTAAGAAACAAGGATTCCCATCCTATTAAGAGTTAATATCCCATTAGAAAAAGACTTCTAATCTAAGAAACTATGATAGGAACTTGTGGAATGATATAATGCTAATATGTTAATCGAATACTTCGAATTTGAAAAGGAGACATTACAGATACTGTTCACTGTAATCTAAATTTTTGTTTAAGAAAGAATATATTAGAATCATTTTGTTAAAAAAACTTGATATATCAGTACTTTATTAGATCATGCAGAGAAGTCATATGTTAGTCGCACCTTATATATATTGTCAAACATAATTTCTTAAGCTATGCTACAAAACACTAGGTCTTGGGAACATTAGTGAGGTTTACTTTCTTTTTATTTATTTATTTACTTAATCAAGTCCATATATACGGGGTTCATTCTATACGCTTACATTTTCGTTTTCATATTGATATATGTAAACATATTCAAATGAATATTAATAAATTATATTAGAAAATTATATATAAAAAGTAAAATAGTTATTATGGTTGTCATGGGATAATTACAAATGATTGAGTGTTGCCATTGGAGCATATCCGATAAAATAGATGAGAGAAAATAAATTTAAAACTGATATAAAGTCATTGATTTGTGGTATAAATGATGAAGTACTCGCATCTGGTATATAAAGGTAAAATTTATAAAATACGCTTGTACAGTAAAATACAATAGCCAAACCCCACAAAAATTATTTTTTCTTAATTAAGAACACATGATATATCATCTTCTATTTTTTATTTTAATATCATTATCAATCCGATAATATTGCCACATCAACAATAAACTCTTTTTGCAGATTCTAATAAGGAGGAGGTGTCTTCTCAGTTAGATACTTCCCAACGGTTTCTGCAAGTGTCTCAACTAGCTTGGTGTTTATTAGAGAAGTAAGATTTGCTAACTTATCATCAAGCTCATACTTTATTGTTGATCTTATAATACTTGATGTAGAATTTTTCTCAATAATTTTGTATTGAGTTATATAACGCTTGAAGCCCAATGCTATAAATCCTCCTTCAATGGTTTCTGTTTCCTTCACACGCTTCTTATTATCAACCTTTGTAATCATTTCTTTCATATAACCAACTCCAGGAGTTCCTGAAACAAAAACGAAACAGAAATATTCAATATTTAATATTCAGTAACTCAAATTTAATGTTTGATAAATAATATGAATTAATTTAATTACCTGGTGGAAATGTAACGTTTAGAAGTGTGCCAACATGTCCATCACCTTCAAGGACTTTAACAGTTCCAAGCACATTTGGTAGAAATGTATTTATAATAGTGAGGACTTGAAGAGTGCCGTAGACATCCCACACCGAACAAGCCGATGCAGCCGCCACCGTGTTCGCCGCAACAAGGCCATGCATTTTGATGTTATGAATTTTGGTTTTCGATGGATTGGTTCATCGTTGTGCTAGGTATTTATAATGGTTTATTTGAAGAAGAGTCAATAAATCTAGATGGGAGAGAGCCAACGTTTACCAATAGCATCCGGTAGTGCGTATCCTGTATCAAAATATTCATCTGATTTTTTAAGTTAAAAAATCAATTCATAATTTTAAATATTATTATCAAGTAAAGTCAACCATGAATTGAAGTGTAGACCTTTAACTCTTATCTGTCATGTTTCCATAATCTAAAACATTCTTAACAGCTCAACCATGAATTTATCCCTCAATATATATAAATTTACAATACTATGATTTCCCAATTATTTATTTTTTATTACTATAAATAATTACTCAAAGAATGCGATTCTCATTAAAATCGGATCTCGTATTCTCATTAGCAAACTGCGATTTAATTTATCAATAATTTTTTAAATATTTAATTAAACTAAAATTCATATAGTCATAATAATATCACATAATAGTTTTTTTTTTTTTTTTTTTTTTTTTTTTGGAACAGTAAGAATTTTATAAAAGAGACAAAAAATGTACAAAAACGAGGGGCATACCCCAAGAGAAAGACTGATAAAACTCAGTCAAGAAAACACATGAAAAAAAACCACAAAGCCACAAATTGGAATAAAAGAGCACGCAGACTCCCCACAAAATAAATCAGGAAGATGCCATAAACCACAAAGCCACAAACCGGCATAAAGAGCATGCAGGCTCCCCACAAAGCTAATCAGGAAAATGCCAAATCACACGAAGCTGGGTCGAGATCTCATACTTGGGTGCTAAACCCAATATCTTGGCCTGGACTAAATCATAAATAGCTAAGAACATATCTCTGCGGGAGCTACAGTGCTGAGGAAACACACGGTTATTCCGTTCAAGCCATAGAAAATAAACTGTAGCTGAAAGGACTAACCAGGAAAGAAGGTGTCTGAAGTCCCCTTTACGTCTAAGATGCAAGCTAGCTCACTAGAGCAAAGGGAGCCAAGAGAGAGTAGGCCATGTAGAGAGTGTCCTGGTAGTGACCTCCCGCCAGACATAACTAGAGAAGTCACAGCTGAAAAACAAATGGCCATGGGTCTCTGTAGCCAACCTACGCAAAACACACAGGAAGGATGTAATGACACCATGAGAGCTGAGCCGATCCATGGTGCGAAGCCGACCGAGTGAAGCAAACCACATAATGAAAGAGTGGCGTGGAATATGCCCTAGAAACCACAAGAAGTGATGAATCAAGTTCACAACCTGTTTGTCCCGCAACACATTCCAGGTTGAATCAATAGAGAATCGTCCAGACGAGTACTCTTCCACTCAAGATGATCAGGATGACCCACTGAAGGCTACACTGTAATATAGTCCCAGATATGCTGAAGATTTGCACTACTCGAAGGAAAATCCCACGAACCATCTCGAATAATATCTGAAACCCAAGCATCCCATGGCAAACCAGTAGAAGTCAAAATCCTAAGAGGGAGCAAGTCACACAAAGGTCCCTACGGTAGCCAGTGATCCCGCCATAACAAGATGTCCCTACCATCACCGATACAAGTCACAATAAGACCCCAACACCAATCCCTGCTAAGTAAGATCTTCTTCCAAGCCCATGAAACCCCAGATGTAACTCGAATATGCCAAAAAGACCAGCCACGGAAGAGAACTAAACGAGCCCAAGAGGACCATATAGAAGACCTATCGTTAAGCAGTCTCCAGATGTGCTTAAGAATAGCTACTCTAGTCCAATCTTGGATCCTCTTAATCCCCAGACCACCATCTCTCAATGGATGGCAAATAGAAGACCTTGCAACCTTGGCACCTGAAGGGGACAGAAAAGTACCCTTCCAGAGAAATAAGGCCAAAATACTCTCAATCCATCTAACTGTAGCTGTCGGCAAAAGAAACATGGATGGCCAACAGACTTGTATGGCGAAAAACACCAACTTGATCAGTTGAAGTCGGCCTGCATAGGTCAAAGATTTCGACATCCATAGCCTTATCTGAGACAGAATTTACTCTAACAGAGGCCTACAATCAGAATGCTGAAGCCGGGTAGAGATCAGAGGAACCCCTAGATATATGACCGATAACACACCCAACTGAAAACCCAAAATAGATTGTAAACGAACTTGCTCCTTATCTGTAACTCTAGAAAGAAACAACTGGCTCTTCTCTGCGTTAGTCACCAACCTAGAAACCTTAGCAAAAGAATCCAAGGCCGATTTTATCAGGCTAACAGAGGAAGCATCTACTTAACAAAACACCATCAGATCATCCGCAAAACACAAATGAGTAATAGCTGCCTGCCTACACCTCCAATGATAATGAAACCTTGGGCTTTGAGAGGTTTCCCAAAGGATACCAGCTAACCCCTCTATAGCCAACACGAATAAGTAAGGAGAAAGAGGGTCCCTCTACCGAACACCCCGGGAGGACCTAAGAAAACCATGAAGCTCTCCGTTCAGCAACAGAGAAATATGGTGTAGAGATACACGTCATAATCCACCTCACCATACACTCGGGAATCCCACCAGTATGTAGCCCCAAGAGGATGAAATCCCAACTCACGGTATCAAAAGCTTTCCGATATCAACTTTTAGGGCACATTGAGGTGAAGTACCCCCAAGATGATAATTCCGCAAAAGCTCCTAAGTCAGCAGAATATTATCAGAAATCCTTCAACCCGGGACAAAAGCTGACTGAGAACTTCTAATAACATCCAGAAGCACTACTTTAAACTGATTCACTATCACCTTAGTAATACACTTGTACAGTACCTTACAACAAGATATCGGTCTAAAGTCAGTCATACGACTCAGGTTCTCCACCTTAGGGACGAAAGCAATCCCGGTAGCATTAACACATCTTGGCATTTCATTAGTAACAAAGAAATATCTCACCGCGTCTTTGAGATCTGTACTAATAATCTCCCATGCCCGCTTTAAAAACAAGAAGTGTATCCATCCGAACCAAGGGCTTTATCATTCGGGATAGAGAATAAAGCAGTCCTAATCTTATCGGTGATAGGAGCAATCAAGGAAGATATCATATCAGAAGGAATGTGCCTAGAAAAATACCTAGAAGCCTCCGTGATCCGAGGTTGAGTAAGGGCAACAAGAAGATCCTGAAAAAAACCCACTGCCAATCGCCCTAAACCCTGACTGTCAGTAATGTGAGTACAATTCCCATCAGTCAAACTGTGGATGCGATTCTGAACCTGCCTGTGGATCAACGACTTATGAAAGGACTTAGTATTCTGATCCCCTAAATTCAGCCACTAAACACGAGATTGCTGCTTAAAAAAAGCCTCCCCATCTCGACAAAGACTGAAATACCGATTGGCAAGTTCCTCTCCTGAGAGATACACTCAGTAGAAAGGGGGTCCCGGTCCAAATTTGCTTGAGTTGTCGGCCACTAAGCACGAGCCTCAATCACCCTACTAGGGATATGGCTGGAATCCCTAACATGTAGAGATTTGAACTTCCGTTTCAATAGCCCCAATTTCTACATAAGACGAAAGATAGGATTGCCTACAATAGGCTCGTCTGAAACTGTCTGAACAATATCCATAAAATCTGCACAATCAGCCCAAAAATTCAGAAATTTGAAAGGGGATGGTACCTTGCCACGACGAGAGCCAAAATGGACAACCATAGAGTTATGATTTGAGACATCCCGAGGTCGAAACTCTGAAACTGTGGTCAGCTGATCAATGCACCAAGAAAGCGATGCAAAGACCCAATCGAGCTTCCGTAGAATAATCCTATCGCCCTGCCAACTATTATGCCAAGTATACCGAAGCCAAGTAAAAGGAACTCCAATCAACTTAGTATCATGAATACAGTGGCCAAAATCATCCATATAACCATACCACGCAGGATCACCACCCACTCTATCAAAGGCTCCTAAAATGGCATTAAAATCACCCAACACAAGCCATGGTAACCCCTCTGAATCAAACTCTGCCGCCTGATCCCTTAGGAAATCCCACAGGTTGCAGTGATTCCCAAGGTCATTAGAACCATACACAAAGGTAATCCCAAAGGAGAACCCCTCTGAAACATGAGTAACCCTGCAAGTGACTCCTGAAGAGAGGAATGAAGGCTATCTACAAAGTAAAGAGAAGGATCCCAACATACCAGAATTCGGCAGGGAATAGAGTCTGTCACATTTGACAAAAACTACCATGAAGGACAAAATGTCGAGACCACTGACTGTAGGACTGTTGAACCTTAGTTTCCAACAAACCAATCAAACCCGAAGACGAATCAGAAATCCAATTCCTCAACGCACGTTGTTTCGAGAGGCCGTTAAGGCCTCTAATATTCTAACTCCCTATCATTGGAACTGGGATAGAAACAAGCTATACAATCACTTGGGCCTAGGCCCCCACTTTCCTTGGCCCTTCCCCTTTTTGAAGGGTGGTAGGGAAACTGATCCAGATAAGGTGGCATCTGGTGTTTGGAGATCATCACTATGTAAAACAAGCAAGACAAACCTATTGGAGGAAGTAGATTGCTTGCTCCCATAACTCATAAGGGAAGCCTAAGTGTTTCCTATGCAGTTTGTGAAGCCCATAATGTGGTCTTGCTCAACTTCAATAGGAAAAGGCGTATCAAGATTCGACCCAAAATCAGAGTTGGAGAAGTCACCTCTACTAGCACGAACAGTCTGCTGATATAGCATCAAATCCAAAGAAACATCCCTAACTATAGCTGCATTATAATGCATGGTAGTAACCCCATCCAGAACTGAAACCCCAACTGGTGCTGAAACAGCCCTCTACCGCTCTCCCTCCATAATGGGATCAGTAGTAGCTGACTATCTCAAAGGCTCATGGTCCTCAGATTGCACTACAATACCACTCCCCGATGCCTTTTGGAAGCTAATAATTGTTTACTCTTATCCTAAGCTATAGGTGCAGTAGGTGCCTCTAGTTGGTGACAAACATGGCCATAAACACAGCATTTGGG